CCCCAGTCCTTCAACTGCAAATGATTCGGCCACACCAGAACAGCCTACACCGCCAAAACCCGATGTGTTCGATGTGCTGGCGAACACCAAGTCAATGAATGCCCAAAGGACAGAGCCGACACCAAATGCAGCAACTGCGGTGGACAACAAGCGGCCTGCTACCGCGGATGCCCTAAATCCCAGTTCGTCGCGGGAATCAGGACTAAGCTGTCTTCACGTACATCCGGACCTCCCGTACCTTTCACGAGCCAACATTTTCCACCCCTACCTCAACGCCCTCAATTCAGCACCAGTGTCCCTGACCAGCCAAGTCCCCAGCCTCCCCTGACTCTCTTTACCTTCGCCGCAGTTACAAGTACCCAGCTCAACCAACACAGCAACAGCAACCACCTACAACAAACTGGCAAGTTATCCGCCCAGCTGGCCTCATCGCCTTCATCGTTGATGTAATATTTGCAGCTGCCAACCCAGAAGACGACAAGGCTACATTCCTGAGCAATGTGTCCCACGCAGCTCGTCACCATCTCAAGGTTCGAGGAATTACACCAGAGTCAATCAACCAACAAATCTCAAGTAGGTTCCCTGATTATCGTTCATAGGTAAGTCACAAAATTAATTGACTTTATTGCATGTTAACGTACAAGAGGGTCTCAACTATAAGAAGTACGAACTACCAGATCTATGTAATAAAATGAATGCCTCAGTAATAACCATTAACGAAAGCTTACTAAATAGTAACTATAATTTCCACCTTCCAAACAACAAAATCATTTCTAAACCTAAAAGTACACATACTAGAGGAATAGCATTATTACAGGAAAATAATCTCGACCTAACTCTCATCAACCATAACACACCTACTTATCACAAGCACATTCTTTGCAAAATCAAAACTCCGTCCCAACCCGATTTCACACTCCTAGCCATTTACATATCACCTCATACAACTCCTGACATTACATTTCTAAATACAGTTATGTCAAATTTTAACAATGTTATAATCCTCGGAGACCTCAACGCTTCTCACCGCCTACTTCAAGGATACACCACAAACACTTCCGGTAGGATTATCGCTAACTTCACAAGACTACATAACTTAACTGTTATTAATTACAACTCTCCTACCCACACACACCACAACGGAACACAAAGCATCATCGACCTCGCCATAGTCCCACCAGCAATAGTACACCTCACAAGTAATTTTAAAGTGCACGAAAATATCGGAGGAGACCATAATCCTCTTTCCTTTAAAATCAGTAACCCGAACTGGACAATATCCAACAGCCAAAACCAGCACCCCATAAACAACACCAATTTTAAGAAAGTTAACTGGACCTTATTCAATCAATATTTAGACAACAATTTACCCGACCCCGTAACATATGCTAACTCCAAAGATGATATCGAGCACTATTACCAGAACATCTCGCAAGCCATAATCAAAACCACAGACAAGTTAGTTCCAAAAAATTACACTAAAACCACGACCAACCACTGGTTATTAACTCCTGAAATACATAAACTCATACTATCCAGACGCAAGCTCCGTAAAGAACTC